ACGAAACGTTTGCAAACCAATTGCCAAGCTCGGCGAACAGATCAACAGCCACCTGATCAATTACCAACCAATACACCCGAGCTACCAATATTCCAACACATTACCAACAATGAGTCCCTCCCTCCTGTAAGCCTTCGTCCATATTTACAGAAGCAGCGACGATAGAGGTTGGTAAAGACGGGACCTAATAACAGCACACCTCCTGATGCACCAATATTCCAACACATTACCAACAATGAGACATTCCCTCCTGTAAGCCTTCGTCCATATTTACAGAAGCAGCGACGATAGAGGTTGGTAAAGACGGGACCTAATAACAGCACACTCTGCTCCTGATGCGACTACAAACATATCTGTTGTGCTTGGTCGTATCAGAGGTGAGCCGACAAACTGCACTACTGAGACTGGGAAAGATGAAAATATTTGAAAAAATCTACCGTGACTGTTCTGTTCAGAATCCGAGAGAAACCTGGTTCACCCGGCCTGTGATACGGATGCCAGAGTTGGAACGCTAAGCCCAGAAGAAGCACAGTTGGGTGACAAATACGGAGTCGATGCTCAGGGTGTGGAGGCAAGGGTTGTAACTTCTTCATTTGTTTGCCACTATGGTCTTTCAGGAGAGGTGTCCGACCTCCATGATCAGCAGATTTATTGCTGCTGACCACCAACTAACAACCATGAGGCCGCAAGTAGATCTCTCAAAATGCTAGGCAAGTTAGTGTTTGAAGAATTACGGGGAATTTTTTTGGATTGCGAGGTTCCAGTTGATGGAGAAGACCTATACTGCACACAATAGTCACTTTCCGTCTCTTCTGACTTAATTAGCCGGCCAGAAGAGGACGTGTATCAGCAAAACAATGTGTGAAAAATGATACGGTGATTCATTTTCATCATAGTGAACTCCAAAGATAGACTGGACATTTTGAATAAGAGTTCAGTCTGTCCCGTTAGCCAAACTAAGTACAACATTGACATATTTGAAAAGGAAATCCAGTACGAGGTATCATTCCTTCAACTCTGTAACAGCATTTGTATCCTGCAAACGTGTGAAGGCACACTGAGTGGTCTGACGACCCTACTGGAAAGGAGTTGGAACGAAAACAGAATACTATTGGAAAGGTGCATTTCGATCGTGATCCCCCAAAAAGGGAGCAAAAACGTCATGATAAAACCGTCATGGCATCAGCTTGATTGCCTTGGCATTTGGACAGGCATCATTTTGCCCAGCTGGTGGACTAAAGGGAGAGAGGATAGCGCGCGAGAACCAAGTCGGGTTTCCGATAAATACATTCATTTGCAAATCACTTTGGTTTTCACGAGAGACTCAAATCAATCTTCCGTTTATGATGCTCTACAGCTGAATGTGCTGCATACAGGCCGCCTCACTTTTCAGGTGGTACGATATTCGAGATATCGCAGTATATTTTCATGAAGGAAACTACTCACAAGGTTGACGGAAACTCTGGGACTGCGCCTACCTGATGAGCCCCAAGAAAGGCGAAACAGGTCGTGGGCTGTCGAACAGTTTACAGCAACCTCGTGAGTAGTTTCCTTTTTGAAAACAAGTTGGGTTTCGTTCGGGCTGGGGGTGCACCGGTTATCTCATTATTTTGAGATGCGTCTGGCGACCAAAGTGTCCCATCTCCATTTTTACCTAATATGAGGACACAGTATGCAAACACCTTTGAGGGTGTACTGTTGAAAGCAAGAAGGCCTTCGTTGCAAAATCATTTGTTAGAAAATGCCAGCTGACTGGTTACAGACTATTGGACGGGTAGCAAAACTCTCATTGGCATTTTATTTACAAAAACTGAACATCCATCTTCTCCTGAAGGCGTCTTCTTGAAGTTTCCTGGATATTCGTTGACTCCAATCACTCATTGATCAAATCCAAGCAAATGTTACGAAGCGACTCCACAAATTCCGCAACCGATCTCCCCTTTTCAAGAGACGCAAAGCGAAATTCCAAGAACAACACATACTGCTCGCATGCCTCCCCATCAGTAGTATCATCGTTACACTGGTACATAACAAGTTGTCGCCTGGTTCCACCAGGTTCAGTGGTGCAAGAAATGACTGCCCTCTCTCACCATTTTGATTCAACTGTTTTATTCACTTGCTACTTGAAACCTCACTGCCTGCCGTTGAAGCCCCGAGGATCAAAAGTTCTTTACTGGCGTTTTCTCATAGATTTAAATATGAGGACGATGTCGCCTTCGTTGTGTCAGACCCTTAATCCATTGCAAGTAAATTGAATAATTATTCTG